TTATATTTCCAAGTTCATTACATGCTATTTATATTTTCAAGTTCATTACATGCTATATATATTGCCAAGTTCATTACATGCTATCTATATTTCCAAGTTCATTACATGCTATCTATATTTCCAAGTTCATTACATGCTATCTATATTTCCATGTTCATTACATGCTATCTATATTTCCATGTTCATTACATGCTATCTATATTTCCAAGTTCATTACATGCTATCTATATTTCCAAGTTTATTACATGCTATCTATATTTCCAAGTTCATTAAATGCTATCTATATTTCCAAGTTCATTACATGCTATTTATATTTCCAAGTTCATTACATGCTATATATATTTCCAAGTTCATTACATGCTCCTTATATTTCCAAGTTCATTACATGATATTTATATTTCCAAGTTCATTACATGCTATCTATATTTCCAAGTTCATTACATGCTATCTATATTTCCAAGTTCATTACATGCTATCTATATTTCCACGTTCTTTACATGCTATTTATATTTCCAAGTTCATTACATGCTATTTATATTTCCAAGTTCATTACATGCTATCTATATTCCCAAGTTCATTATATTCTATTTATATTTCCAAGTTCATTACATACTATTTATATTTCCAAGTTCATTACATTCTATTTATATTTCCAATGTTGTACACATGCCACATCCGAAAAATTGCGTGATTGCATGCTGTTTATTTAATCTTATTTTAGATTATTCACAGATATTTGACCACTGAGCATATCTTATTGAATGGCCATAGACAATGTAAAATATCCAATTTTAGCTACGCTAGTGACGTCATCGATGACCTACGTTTCTTTGAAAAAACTCAGGTATATAAATATTCTAGTATGTGTTTTATATTTTTTCTATCAGCTATGTCTAATCCTACGTGTTGTGGAAACATAAACAGTAACGTAAATGTAAGAATTGATTAAGTATAGCTAAGTGTATTCTTATTTAATTGATTAAATTGACTTCATTTCATCTATGTATACCCTTAATAGACAGGAGTTACCATTAATGAGACATCGTGCCTTGTTTTCTAGAACAACTATCCATATCAATGGATGTCTGCTGAAACATTGTTGAACAGACGATTTACACTGAAGAGTGATACTTGGTCTTTTGGTGTTGTCATGTGGGAAATTGTGAATCTCGGTAAATATATGTACTGATTTACATAATATTTTCTATTTTAAACTGCGTCAAGTCAAGTCGGAAAAATAGGGACAATCTCATATCCATCTGTGTTATTCTGTTTAACGCCAGGTGCAATGCCATACCAAAGAGCGTCTGAGCAAGAAGTGACAAGCATGATACGAGATGGAAATCGAATGCCAAAACCAGCACATTGTGGAAATCATATGTAATTATAATTTCTGATATTGTAATTGCTTTCAATACAGTAAATATTCCACCAATGAGAAATTTACCTTAATACTGTGCCAATAAATATATCTCTATAGATTCCAATTAATGACCTCGTGTTGGAGACGTCATCCAATAGACCGACCATCTTTTACTCAACTAAGAAATTCTATTAGCCAGATAATTCAAGACAAAAACGTGAGTAGCTGATTATGAATATGTTCGTTATTATGAAACAGTAGTACAATACTTGTTGATTGACAAATTTTTATTATTTATGTTACTTACAGGTTCATATTAACGTTCCACTACTTGAGTCACCATATGCAAATGTTTGAATACGAAATAGAGTCAATGGATTCGGTAGTATCATGCTAGAATGTGCCTAAATTAAAATGTAACAGGTACTTCATCGTGGCGTAGTTTTATGTTTTTCTAATTACTTGTGTAATTAATTTTAAAATTGTTGATGTGAAAGTCGTCACATTAATTACTCAAATGCGAAATAGTTTCACATTCATATATAGAACATTTTTTTTGTCATAAACATATGTGATATTCCCTTAAACTTTATTTATAATCGTTTATCTTCATCTGTCTAATCTTTTCAATATATATTGTACGAGGTTTTCTAGACGTGAATTATAATCCACAATTAAGAAATATCAGCTGGCTAAAGCAT